TGTACACAAAAAAGTCTTATCACAAAAATACAACTGAAATATGAAACCCATAGTCCAATCCGGTCTAAAGTTATGGGCAAGGTACAAGTTTCTGCAGACAAATAAACAAACAGACAGACGGACGGACAGGCTAAAAACTATATACCCCCCTTCCCTAAACTTTGTTCACCGGGGCATAAGTATAATAAGTAAAGTAACTACTTTTTCATAGTCCAACATTTGTTTTGCTTTTTTTCTACATATGTTCTACTGGTAAAAAAACTCCTAAAATCATCACATTTACAAATGTAATTCATGTACATGTAGAACGGGGAAAACGATACTACATGTGCCAATTTTTGAAAGACGAACACTTCTTTTTGAATTTTTCAGGTTTTAAGCTAACCACTTTTTGTTTCCTATGTATCATAGTTCAGAGGCAATTTAAATTCTTACTTATTTTTACAAATTAAATCGATCATCCCTTTTATTATGAGAAGTTCAAAACTCCATTCATAGAAAACCAAATATTTTTATAAGATCTATTTTTCTGAGCTAACGCCCTTTTTCGCGCCAATTTGAAAAGTAGGAATCAATAACGTTAAACTTTTGAAAAATTGAGTTTTGCAAATTATTTATTAAAATCAAAGAGATTCATAATTAATCAACTCTGGAAACTTTTAAAAACAATTTCTGACACCAGCTAGAAAATGACCCTTTAAAGATTAAAATGACAACTGTGGACACTTACTGTATCAAATGTAATAAATGATTGTATGAATGCGCACATATCTTTGCCTAAATAGCCTTAGAACATTTTAATACATGTAGATATTGTTTTCCTTCAATGGGGATAAAGCGGTTTTTATCATTCATGTAAGGTATTGTATAGCTTTTATTTCGTTATGTAAGCTTAAAAGCTTCCAGAAATTAACACTTCAAAGCATAAGGCTGCTTGATATTACACGTATACATTCGCTAACAAGAATATTCCTCTAAAAACGAAAGTTTTTGCATCAAAAAATGACAAGGGGTCATTATTCTACGGGGTCATTTTTCTACAATGCACACGGAGAAAAACGACCCCAAGGCCATCATTTCTACAGAAAAGTGGGTCATTTTTCTACATAGAATATTGACCAGGGGGTCAAATTTCTACGTAGAAAAATGACCCCAGGTCAATATTCTACGGGGGTCACTTTTCGTCGTTACACCGGCCTGACGTACAAAGGCCCAGCGATGCATAACTAATCACAAAACGATGTTCCAGGGTAATCAGCCGATGTATATTAGATTGCTCATACATTCGTTCGTACGTCGGTCGATTGTGGGCCAATGTTTGGTCGAACATCGACCGACGAACGGTCGATGTCTCTTGCCCAACACTCAACCACCCGATGACCTCTGATTCAACTGACACTTGACGATGCTCGGCCATACATTGACCAATCCTTGAAAAGATGCGTTAATGATGGGTTGCAGATGAGGAGCGATGTGGGGCATAAGTGGAGACTCTCTGATTTTTAGCTACTACTTATTTTCTACCACTGCCCCCCCCCCCACCGATTCGCCAAATGGCCTTAGTCACTGTCCGATTACTATAGGTCGCCAGCTGTCAACCACGTCATGTAAAAAACGCATCGGTTTCTCATCGTATACCCATCGCTAGATAATGTGATTGATACTTTAAGTATTAGTCACATTATCCAGCGATGGGGTTTACGATGAGAAACCGATGCGTTTTTTTATGAAAATGGCGTGGTTGCCGCTCGGACACCATTAGTGATCGGACGGTGACTAAGGCCATTTTGCAAATCGGTGGGGTCATCGGTAGGAAATAATTCGTAGTTAAAAATCAGCGATGTCTCCAACGATGGCCCTCATAGCTCCTCATCGGCAACCCATCATTAACACATCTTTCACGGATCGGCCGATGTATGGCCGAGCATCGTCCAATATCCTTTGACTTTGAGGTCATCGGGGGGGGGGGGGGGGGTTGAGTGGTGTTCAACAGATAACGGCCGATCATCGGTCGATGTTCGACCAAACATTGGCCCGTAGTCGACCGATGTTCGAACGATGTTCACCAACGTATGAGCGAAGTAATATACATCGGTCGATTATCCTGGAACATCGTTTTATGATTAGCAATGCATCGCTGGGCCTTTGTAAGTTCGGCCGGCAATTTTTTCATGAAACGCACTGGTTTCCCATCGTATACCCATCGCTGGATAATGTGACTGATTCTTTAAGGACTACTAGGCCGATGTGGATCGATGTTGGGGCATCGTTAACACCACGGATTACCACCGATTACCACCGGTCTACGGCTACCGGCCGGGAAATGTGACCTAGGCATCAGCTGACGAAAGAAGAGATCAAAATCGACCAAGACAGCGGTCGATGGACTGCCGACTGTCGCCCGAAGAATCATATTTTTGCCTCAAACACCCTCGGATGTTCTTGTTTTTGGAAATGTGACTTGGGTTTAAAGCATAGGTCACATTTAAGCCGATGGTCAGACGACAAAATTTTTCTCGTACCCGTATCTTCGGCTGATAAATCAAAATCGGTTGATATTAGTATCGGGCAACACGGAATAGTCACACAGAGTCCAAGGAACAACGATGCTTTTAACAGTAAATATATTTATAAGTTGGCTAACCGTCGCACGATCATCTTTCGCTGGGCGGAAGTTTGATTTTCACCGTCGGAACACAGTTACGAAAACCTACCGGGTAATTCCTAGCAGTCGACCGACCGAGGTCAACTTTAAAAACTGCCTATGGTGGTCGGGTGATAATCGAAGGTTGGTCGAAAGACTATCCAACGACTGCATCAATTGAAGGCCTCGGCCATAGACGAAGTGGCAGAATTTTGTAAGACTGCGACTCAATGTTGAAAATGTGTGCAAAATTTTGTATAGAATTGCATAAAAAAAACAACAAATGGTGCATATCTAAGCAGGAAGGAATACTTAAGATTTCTTTATATCTTACAGATTAATTACCTTATAATGACAATTTTAGCGAGACGCAAATTTAGCGATTTCTACCTAAAATCTGATATTTTATTTTTTGCGAGAAGTAAATTTAGCGGCTTTATAATGCTAACTGAAGAAGCTATTGCAAATAATGCGCAATTAATTTTAGCGATTTCCAATTTTAGCGATGTCAGCACCCTTGCTAATAATGCCAAAATTAAATCCTCGCTAAAAATTCTATTTATACGGTTGTTATGTTATTTCCCTTCAAAAAATATATATAAATTCACGCTTCAAAATTTTGTTTGTGTCGTGTATCCTTAACAGGTTAAATATTCACAAATCGGCCAATCATCGCCTGATCATCGAGCTGTGAGCTACAGTTTGATTTTAACCGTCGGCCGAAATTTTGGATAACCTAATTGTCGAACCACGTTCGACCTACTTAATAAACTGACCGCCGATGGACGGACGATGATCGAAGTTTGGTCGATGGATAGCTTTAATTGAAGAAATCGGCCACCGACGCAGAAAAAATTGTAACTTTGACCAATGGGCACAGAATTGGTCGGCTGACAAAAAAGAGGTCAAAATCGGGCAAGACAAAGGCCGATGAACTGCCGTCTGTCACCCGAAGAATCCCATTTTTGCTTCAAAAACCTTCGGCCGTTGATCGTTTTTGGAAATGCGACTGGGGTTATACTTGGCTCCATGGACACAAAAGTAGTCGGACGACGAAAAAAGAGGCCAAAGTCGGCAATACAACGACTGAAAGATTTTTCTAAGGTGTAAGAAATTGTTACCAATCCCTTGAATGAATTATGCAATAAAATATGTAAAGAAAAACTTCGGGCGTTGGTCGTTTTTGGAAATGCTATGTGTTGGTCACATTTAAACCGATCGTCGGGCTACTAAATTTTTCTCGTATCGTCGGCTGAAAAACATGATCGCCCAACAGAAGTATCTGGCGACGCGGAGCAGTAACATTTATTCTTAAGAACACCGATAATTTTCGAAAATAAAGTTATTCTACGTCGCCTTACATTTGGCATTCATCGTTTGTTAAACTGCAGTTTGATTTTCACCGTCGGCCGACATTTACGACAACCTAATTCCTAAATGTCGACCGACGTAACAAACTGTCTGGGAATGGTCGAACAACGATCGAAGCTTGGTGGACAGAATTTTGAACGACATTTTCAATTGGAGGAATCCGCCACCGACGCAAAAAACCCATTATAACATGGCTCCACAGGCACAAAATTGGTCGGCCAACGAAAAAAGAGGTCAAAATTAGGCAAGACATCGACCAATGAATTGCCGACTGTCGTCCGAAGAATCCAATTTTTGCCTCAAAAACCGTCGTCTATTGTTCTCTTTTGAAAATGTGAATTGGGTTTTACTGGGCTTTAAATGAGTATCTGTCATTTGTATCAGAATATATACCTGAACATCAATACTGTAAATCACTTTTTATTCGTGAGAACTTTATTTTCGTGTAATTACGCGAGGCAATGCGTTCGGGAAAATTTATTTCTCGCGTATAAAAGTATTCCTTACGATTAAACAGAGGAATAACAACTATTCGTGAAAATTATGTCTCGCTTATAAAGAGTCAATGACAATCTCGCAAAAATAAGGTGTCGCGAAAATTTAGTGAACAGTAAAATGAACAGATTGGAGAAGACATTGGAACTTGGAATCTAATGTTTCTTATTCCGTTGATAAAGATCAATAAAAGATATCCAAAAAAATTAGTAGACAAACGTGTTTTTCAATTGCCAACGTGCGTAAGCTGTAAAAATAAGATTGCATATTATAATAAAGAAGAATAAGTGGTTTAGTTTTATATTTAAAAAAAAACGAATGAAAACCGGTAAAAATTAAAGAAATTTAAACATTTTTTTTCGAATTTAAAGATCTTTGCTGTTTCCTGGAATTAAGAATCCTAAAACTGTAACTTTCGAATTCAAAGATCTTTGCTGTTTTTCGGAAATAAGAATCCTAAAACTTGAACTTTCATGCTTTCTTTATCTATATATAAGGTGCGTAGAGCGGCACGAATATCTCAGAAATGGTAAGGCCTTTATATGTTTCGTTTTTATATATATTGTACACACATAATAAATAACTATTTCATTCAAAATGTAATTATAATAAGCAAAACTCTCTAGGCAGACAAAATAATAAATTGGAAATCGGAGAGTACGATTCAAAAGGGATAAAAACTAGCTTTAAAGTCCTATGGAAAATGTGACGTTTTTTTCATAACTAAGGGGTCATTCTATTCCCCGAATCAATTTTGTCTACCAGAAAGACAACAAATAATTATTAAGGGCATTTCTTTATCTTCATTCTGTTGCTGTCTTTATATATTCGCTATTCTTTGTCAAGTTTTTGTAAGATTTGGAACAATTAATGAATTTTCTTTCAGTTTATTGTGATAGCATGCCTTTGTCTTACACTCATTCACAATATATCCGGTTTGATTCCCCCGGCTGCTCTGTTTGTGGGGATGGGATACAATTTTCTGAAAGGAAATCCAGATGGTGATAGCCATATTAACGCAGGAAAAGATCCGGGGCTCTTGATGACGCGTCAGATTCTGAAGTTAGACCCGCCTGATTCTCCCCGCGAACTCTCCTACCATGAGTATCCACTGTGTTTTCCCACACACTATAAAGAGGTGTTTTACAGCACCAAGTCCTACCAAACTAGACTCCTGCATGATCTTATAGATATCGGTAACAGCAGCTTGATTTATCTTCGAAGAATTAAAATTTATCTATAAGACGGGGACGATCTTGAACTCCCTTGCTTATGTATAAACGAGATACTTTTATTGCAGGAAATACTACAAGAAATATCACCAACCATGCATTCTCTTTAAGCGAAGGTAGATATTGTTGCAAAATAGTAATGACAATCAAAAACCGCATCATCTTCCAAACTAGACACAACTGAATTGTTCAAGATTAAGGAAACTAATTGATCCATCCGATATACAAACAATAGACTAAAAGTAGACAAAGATATTTATAAAGATTTCATTTCATTGTAGGCTTTCGAACAATCACTTCGGATACTCAACAGGAGAGTTATTTCTATATTGATGAAGTCAGACTCTGTAACAAAGGTAGATCCAGGTTCATGTCCAGCTTAGCACACAGCCGTAGGTTCGACATCGGAGACGAGTTTGCAGCAACTGTTTGTTCACTTCCCAGAACTTATGACCAACAGACCTACATGAACTTCCTGGAGGATTGGGGAACAGTAATTGTTTTATTATAAATTGTACGAAGACAAAACATTCTCAGCATGTCAATGTAACAATACAAACTGTGAGCAGAGCAAACACAGACTATAGACCGTTTTCCTATGACATATTTGCTCACTTAGCCGGCATCTTGTAGGGCAAAATAGTGAATTTTCCTCTTTGTGCAACCAATTTTAAACAAACATGCAAGAAATATATGAGGGAAAATATTTACATCTTAAAATTATGAGTTAATAGAGGATTTAACAAAAGCATATCAATGAGAAAAATAGTTTTATCTTAACCTCTGTGAGAAAGTAACCAGTAAAAGAAATTAAACTTGGTTGAATAATAAGGGATCTGGGTATGTTTACCTACAATATGGTGGCCATGAGGATCAACTGTCACCTAAATGGAAAACACTATATCAAGAAGGACTTAGTCTCTGGAAAACTCAGCTTTTTGTTTCTTTTCAGCATGTTGTCATGGAAGTGGAGATTGGTTGGGAGAACAGAACAAGAAAGAGGATAGCAGTAAAAGACATCATAGAGTCTCTAATTAAAACTGTACGTTTCACTAATACAATACAACAAGTTATTAACTAGCGTCAATATACCATAAATGCTAGTTACATGTAATAATTGTCTTTTATACGCATTTAGAACCCAGACTTACTGGTACCGACAGGTTCTTCAAGAAAACACACGTCTTCAACCTCCTTGTCAAAAACATTCCTTGATAATTCAACCTCCCTTGATTCATTTGCCTCCAAGATGATCACCATTTCGTCTATGTCAAAGGGCAGTGAGCAAGTCAGCGAACCAATCAAATACAAGGTTATAAGCATAGACAAACTGTTGGATATAGATTATTGGCAGTTACCAAAGGATATAGTACATAAACAACTTTGTACATCGGGTTTCGACAGTTTCCTACCTGTGAAACAACGAAATATTCAGAAAGCTCTAAGTCTGTATGCAGAATTTCTTAATGCACCGTCTGCAAAAGGTTATTTAATTATCATTGACTCATTCGTTTCATAAAGTAAATAACTTGCAAATATAAACAAATCTATCATCGTGAATGACATTTCTTGGTAAACGAACCATGATAGTTTTAATCAAAGTACTGAGACAGTACTGAAAGACGGGGTCAACATATTTTCAAGCTAGATTTTACAAATCTGATTTTTTTAACGAGTTTTGATAATTCTTAATAAACATACTAAAAACAAAACTGTGAATAATATTTATTCGCGTTTTTCATTTAATTTGAGGTAGGAATTTCAATAATTACTAAGTCTAGAAACCTTTTTGAACTGTCCGAATTTCACTTGGTCCGAATTAATATATTTCCGGAAGTAAACAATGGATGATGCGTACGCAGTCGTAATACTACGCAGAAGAGTACTTTGTTTACTAGTGTGTTTTACAATTAATATTTTGAGTTTAAAATTAATATTTTGAGGTTACATTTACAGAATGCTTCAATAATTTGATTTAGAAAAAAGTTTATATCATTTCCTTCAGTTTCATACAGAATGTTTATATTTTGATCAAAACTATTTCTGCACTCTTTGATATAGCGTAGATTTACTTCATGTGTTATCACCACGGCTTCCTTTTTGAGGGCTCTGACAGTAAACTAATAGACGGGGTCACGTGACCCCGTCTAAAAATGATGTCAACTTGGATCCCATCCTTTACATTTTATTCTGCTTTATTCTTTTTGGATTATTGACTAGGAACTCGGTAAATGATGGAATTTTGAATCATGCATCTGTGTTTTCTTTAAAATAAAAATAAAGCACTTTAAATTCAAGAAAAGTACCAAACTAAAATGATTGCAAAAAGCATTTTTTGGATAATAGACGAATTGAATTTACCATTTTGGCATTTGTGTGTAGAACAAAAACTTAGTTCTTTCTGAACTAGTAGATAAACTCGATCTGACTGACTGAAAAAAGAAATAGATGACAATTTATAAGGTGATTCTATAAGTCAGAGTACCAAATGTCATTGACTATATTAAAAGTAGGCTAAAAAATAAACCGGAAACGTTATTTTACAGAAGCCATTTTTAGTTGAAGTATCTATAATAATTTTGATTCCATTTCTTAGATTCTAGTCCGGAATATCTGGTTTCCTGGCCATCTCCACCATTTGCACTTCCGGAACCTGTAAATGGCTGTCCTAAAGATAATGGTCCATGGAGAGTTGGAAATCTCACCCACCAACTTTCGACTCGCATCGATTTATTTCCAAACAATACCTTTCATTATCAGTATGAACTTCATTTGAAAGGTAAAACATAGTTCTTAAGGTCAAGATCTAGTAAATAACTTGAGACTATTTTTTCTTGCTAGATCCATTATGACGTCATAATCAATAACAACTTTCTTTTTCCCGTACTTTACGGCTTTAGCAGAATTATATAGAAAATAGGGTATTCTCATGTCATTCAATTTCAAATCATATGAAAAGTAAACCGGATACCTATATTAAATTTGATATTGATTTAAAGAAGAGGCCATGAACATACTAATTACCGTTTTCTGGGAGACTGTAGGCAATCTGGATACAATTCCTTTGCCGAATACGAAAAAAACTCCTATATTCATGACTGGTTTTCTTAATTTTTCATTGAAAATGACAGTTTAAAATACAGTTTTTCATCTTGTTTACCTAAAGATTATGCCCCGAAACACCATATTTGACCAAGCTAAAGTTGTAAAGCATCAATAAAGGAATTTATTTCTCAAGTTTGATAAATCTGTAGGCACCTTTCATTTACTAGATCTTGACCTTAACATAGATTAATTTCAAAGTAACATTTTTTAAAAAAATGCTGGTTCATTATTCTGAAGTGTGAGTCAATAAAATGATTCTTTTCAATAATTCTCGTTCAACGGTTGAATAGATTATACCTCAATATTCAACTGTCAATGTGGAAGTTTAAATTACTGGGACTCTGCTTTTAAACAAATGAAAAACATGGAGATAACGAACGGTACTTTCCGTAAAAATTAAAAATTATATATAAAAAAGTTATGTAACGTTTCCATAGTTTCTTACATTGTACATGTACTTGTAACTCATGAGAGATTCACGAAATCAATATCCTCATAGATTTATTTAAGTTACACAAGTTAAATTGTACCTAACAGAACGCTTTAGATGAAGTATTTCCTTTATTATTCGTATAAACGATGCAAAAAACAAAGCTTTGTGTAAGATAAATTCCACCTTTCTTTTGTACAGGACAACATAATGCAACATTCCTCAATATGTTGTACTGCGGCCTAAATTCCTCCAGCGACTCCTCCAATCCGTGGCCACAGGGTTCTTACTGCATCGCTCAAGTCTCAAACAATTGTCCACCAGGTAGGGTTGTAAATTTATACCATTCTGTCAAAGTGTCATACTCTTACTTTGTAAGGAATGTCCATACTCCAGAATCATGAAACAATTCAAGACTCAACAGTCCAAATTCAAACAAAGGCACCGCAAAGTGATGCACTCCCTCTGAAAGAGGATATCTTTAAATGAAAAGAAAACCCGATCCCATTGCAATCTACGTCACTTCTGTTCCGCAAATCACCAACTAACACACTCAAAAACACGTTACTTTATCCCCTCCAACTCCGTTGCAAGCAGCAATAGCAAACTATAGTTTACTTTGGTAAACTTTTGTTAGGGTTGTCACAATCGAGAGTTCTGTTTACAAAAGAACATACGACTAAGAGTAGACCTAACACTTGATTTGATCTTAATATTTTGCAAACAAATGCTCTGTACTATTGTGTGCATAAAATGTTTCTAAATTATTTTTAAGAAGCAATTTTGAAATTGAATTGTGTTGTTTGTAAGGTTCCTAATTCTTTAAAATCATATATCAGTTTTTAATATTTTTAATATTCTCATCAACCAAAGTGAATTTGAATTACCATATAACCCGGTGAACTCGAGAAAAAAGATACCACAGAGTCTGACACATCTCTTTCATATTTGGATATTTTACTTGAAAAAGACGTTAATGGTAATCTTATAATCAAGCTTTATGATAAACGTGATGACTTTCACTTTTCAATCATCAATTTTCCTTACTTATCCATTAATATAGCAATAATATGCATGCAGGGTTTAAATCTCTCAGTTGATACGATAGCATGCTCTACTAGGAATGTACAATTTCCAAAAAAGATGTAAATTTTTGACAAACATGATGAAACAAGAATATCGATCAGCAGTCTCGTTTATAGTCATCTTTACGTTAGTTCTAAAGTCGATGCAATAACCCCGTCAGCAAATACAATTTATCATTGGGTAAAATGCTCACTAACCTTTTTCATTATTTTCACACTGAATTGACAACGGATTTATTCGTTATTTCCCGATCCCAAAGAGCACACTGCGGGTGTGACGGGTCGGCAGGGGACGCTCATTCCTTCCTGCCACCTGATTCCACCTCTTATGTTTTGGAGGCTGTGTTTGCTCTGTTCCTATTTTGTATTGTTTTATGGACTTTCGAGCTTGATAACCGTTCGTTAATTCCGTATATTTTCTTCCAAAACTTATAAAAATCCTTACAAATAAAGATACATAGCGGGTTTATGTTAATGTTCTACTAAGTTTCTTTCTTTAAACCTCACCAAAAAACTTCAGGAGTACTTTGCAACAGTGTATTCGAGAGAAGATCTAAATCAGGGGCCCGTTTTACAAAAGAACTTACGACGAAGACCAACAACAAGTAATATTGATTTAAAATTATGTGAAATCAATTATTGAGTTTAAAATTGCTATCATGAAAATATCGTTCTACATTCCTCTTTTTAAAAAAAGTTAAAACCATATTCAATTTCATGCATATAAGCAAATTATAATCAGAACAAATTTTGGTCTTATTCGTAAGTTCTTTTGTAAAACATGCCCCTGATCACAGGGACTTGCTCCTGGCGTGTAAAAAATATCTAATAAAAAAAAAACCGATAGGCCTATACTATAAAACTACACAAGGGAGGACGCCATTTTGGACCCCTTCCTCGCTTCAGTCTCTGTTTTCGTTATATTTTGCCGTATTTTACTGACTCACCACCGGGGATCTGTTAAATAATGATTCTTCTAAAACCTTATGCTTAAATTTCCCCCTTGGAGCCTCTGCAATACACATTTCAGACTAAAAATAATCGTTAGGACAGTTGGTATGGACAGAAAACGAAAGCACATTCGAATCCCGGCGAGGATTGCCGAATGACCTAATTGCGTATTCGAATGTAAAACGCCGAGGTTACTTTCGTTTTCGTTTTTCGCTCCCTTGTGTAGTTTTATAGTATAGGCCTATCGTTGTTTTTTTTATTAGATATTTCTTACACGCCAGGAGCAAGTCCCTGTGCCCTGATGTGGATACTTTAAAGTTCAAAGGAACTTTTGGAAAAATAAGATTCCCAAAATTTTACCAAAATCAACAGCATAAAACAACTTTTCAACTTTATTTACAATCATTATCCATGATAAATTTAAATTTAGACTTTCTGTTATTATTGACAGCTGCTTTAATTTTTAATAAAAATGGAACTTGAAAATTTACTTACCTTGTCATTGGTCTTTTGCAAATATTATTTTCTTAAAAACATTCTGATGTAAACACATGTACCCTGACCCTGAAGTTTTAGATACCAAAACCACCCTTTGGGCTAGCAACGATAAGCAGTCAAATTTTTCATAGACATTAACAGGAGGGATTTTGTGTCTTCAATAAAGAACAGCAGATAAGTGTAAATCAAGTTGCTGCCCTTGGACCTTTTTTAAACTATTTATATTGGCTACCTATAAGCAACTGACACTCATTTCTTGATATAATTCAGTTAAGTGTGAACTTAATTATACTGTGATGAAAAAAATTGTTTAGCTGTATCATTTTCAAATCTTAACATGATCTTTTTTTTTGTTTTTAGATTTCTAGGAAGAAAATATCTAAATCAAATTTAAGGGAAATTTAAACGAAATAATTAAAGTGATACAGAAATTGAATTGTTTCAAAATGATTACAAGTTTATATCAGATATGTCAGTTCCCTCCTAGCAATAAAAGAAAAAAAATCATAGTGTTTGATTATTCAATCACATTAAGTCAAGATAAATCAAATAAACATAATAGGACTGTTAGATCTCAGATGTTCCATAAATCAATTGTCTCCCATTTTTGCAAAACATGACAAACAAAAAAGCCACATGACGGTAATTTTGATGTTCGAAGCCCCCAAATAATACTATATTATAAAGGCTTTATTTATTTATTTTGTGTTATATAGAAGACTTGGGTTAAAACTACGTGTGTATTATGTACGATCATAAACATATAATTCTTTTGGATTGTCAGGATTTTATAGCGGAACCATTACTTATAGTCTGTATCCCAGAGAACAGTACCTGTCTACTATCTACGACCAGTCACTGAAGTTTTCAGGAAATATACCGAAACTGGAAGCAACAGCGGGACAGTTCTATAAAATGTATTACTGTTGCAGGTAGTACAGAGTTTGATATGATTTATGAAAAAATTGTTTGAAGATGACGAACAGTAATAAAGGTAAAAGTACATTGGAACAATACGAATTTGAAAGAATACAAACAGGGGCATATTTTAACCTCAGATGGGATCAGGTCCCATGGAGAAGAAAACATCCCTACGTCACATCCGCCATGTTCCCTTGTCATGATTGGAAACTCCAAAGATAATTCAGCTTGACAAGCATGACTAAACAATATTGTATGAGAAACATCAGTCAATATTCGTATTTGACTTAACGATATACTGTATTTGCTAACAAGTTAATTGTATTGCCCATTGAATTTGCAAGATGTTAGATTTAAATAGGACCATTAATATCTTTGTATCATTAACATATTTGTCAAAACCTACCTTAAGTTATACATTGCCTTTGTGTGCCGAATCAACTGGCAGACATAGACTTTATGTCATTTTGTAAAACTTGAATTGGAATAGACTTTACATTAGCCACACATTTCTTATGGTCATAAAAAGTGATGAAGAATGGTACTAACTTTTATTATTTATGCATAATTATGTTCCCCAAACGGAGTTTGGGAACATATTGTTTTTACTCGGTTTCTTATTATTATTATTAAGGTCTTCCGTTTCAACGGAAGACCTTCTTATTATTCTGTTGTTTCTTTTCAACTTTTCTTATTATTATTATTCTTACCGATTTTGTGCAGGCGATTTCTCGTAAATGCGTCGATGGATTTTCATGAAACTTTCAGCATTGATGACAAATTATATGAACTTAAGGCGTTTTTTCTTAATTTGATGACGTCACTTCCGGTTCGGAGTTTTCGGCGATTTAGTGAGTTTTAGAGGGTCATTTTGTCCGGCAGTTTTCTCAATAATGGCTCAAGATAGAAAGATGAAACTTTCAGGTATGATAGACCAAAGTCTATAGATATGTATAACGTATTTCATTTTTATCGGAAGTGCCGCACGTCGGCGCTCGCTATGGCCCGAAAATATTCCTATCGCGAATTGAACAATTTTTAACAACTTTTCTACAATATCTTTTTACCTGGAAATATTTTGTTATAACATATAGAATAAAAGAAGTGTAGAATTTCAAGATCTTTCTAATGATATGTCGAAAAAAGGGCTGGCCCCTAAAATAAAGGGCCTAGAGGGGCCGAAATTATTTTCTATATATCTCAAAACGTATTGAGAATTTGTAATACGTCAAAGAAGCAAAATTGTTCAAAATGTCAAGCTGAATCTATTGAAATCGTCAAAATACGTCCGGTTTCGTCATTTCCGGCCAAACCGGAAGTAGTCGGAAAATGAGTATTTTTGCCGTTCTTGACAAGTTTTTAAATAACATATGTCTCTGGGAGCATAATAATTAATTTTCCGTCCGTCGTCATCATTTCCGGTAAAACCGGAAGTAGCAAAAATGGCTTATTTTTGCATTAATTAACATAGTTTTAGAGGATTCAAAGCATTTTTGGGCGTTATTTCTCATTTCTGTTAAAAATGAAAGCTGCTTCCGGTCAAGCAGGACGGAAGACCTACTCGTTGCTTTGCAACGAGCTTTGCTCTAGTTAATAATTCTTTTTTTCTTATTTGTTCTCCGGTACTTTTTTGTCCGGAAGTGTTCTCAGAAACTGTTCACACAACTGAGCTAAAACCTTTTTAGGGTTAATAGGTGTGTAGTGTAGGTGTGCGGAACGAAGGTCATTTTGCGCGCATACGCATGCACGTGCGTGCGCGTGATATGAGTGAAATGACCGATATACTTAATATAGCTATAACTTTTACATTTTTTTATGAAATGATTTGAAACTCATTATATAAAGATATATTAATAGTGTAGATAATGTGACACTGTCAAATAAGCACGAACTCACGCGCATGCACGTGCGCTTTGCTCTGATTGGCTGAAACAAAAATCTCAATATCTTCTCTGTTTTTTGACGAAATGCTTTGAAATTTAATACATAGGCATGCTTTAGGATATCCTACAACATAGTATATAAGAATTTTCATCAAATCACGCGCATGCACGTGCGCTGCAATCTGATTGGCTGAAACTTTAAATGGCTATAACTCTCTTGTTTTTCAACCAAACATCATGGTATTTAGAACATAGACAAACATAATGGACTCCTAGAAGAAGGTAAGGTCATCATGAACATGCTTGCACGTGCATGAACGTGCGCTTCGCTCTGATTGGCTGAAACAAAAATCTCAATATCTTTTTTGTCTTTTGACGAAATGCTTTGAAATTTAAAACATAGGCATGCTTTAGGATATCCTACAATATGATATATAATAATTTTCATCAAATCACGCGCATGCACGTGCGCTGCAATCTGATTGGCTGAAACTTTAAATGGCTATAACTCCCTTGGTTTTCAACCAAACAGGATGGGATTCAGAACATAGATAGATATTGTAGACTCCTACAACAGGAAATGGTCATCATGCACATGCATGCACGTGCGTGCACGTCAAATTAGTAAAATTCCAAATACACTAGATTAAACATATTTTTGGATTAAATGCTGTAATATTTAGTATATTAAAATATATCAATAGTGTAGACAAGATGATATGGTCATTACGCACATGCATTCAAATGCGCATGCGTGCAATGCTGAAATTGAATACTTCTGGTAAAACTTTGTTAAAGTCTTAAATGTATCGCGTTTGTCGTATTTAATGAAGCTTACAGGGAAGAAGGCACCAAAAGGGAGTTGGGGAGCGTTTGGGGAACATCTGTAACGGTTCCCGTTACAATTAGCCCTAGTTATGTATTGTTGTTTCAGAAATGACGGAAATGTTGACCAGCCAATAATTCTACCTCATCAAGAACCATTCTACCTTTATCCTGAGCACAGGACAAAGAAATGCCAAAAAGTGCTGGGCATGCGCTCTACTGACGAGTGGATTAAGTATCCCTACGCAGGGAGCTCAAGATACAGCAGCTGTTCATGTGCTAGTGGTTATTATTACAACGCGTGTCAACCGTATGATGAAGACTGCAATCAATACCACAAAGTCCATTACTGCTTCTACACAAAAGATACATCAATCTCAAGTGTTAGTGTATTCGGTTGAAAATCTAAGGCATTGTATGACAGAGACCTAAGTAATAATTAAAGTTTGAATTAATTGTATTCTGAAGTTTTTGAAAGTTTATATTTTTTTTCAAAAATGAAATTGTGTAATTATTTCCTTTAAATAAAAGTAATTTTTTTTCATCAATGACAAATTTAAAATGAAAAAAACCCCACAGAAGTTGTAAGTTCTCTAGTGAATATAAATAAAAGGAAAATACGCAAAACAAATCGCGATTCCCCTTCTCTTCACTTCCCTTCACGACCGGTCACGGTAACGTAGTGGTAGAGCGTTCGCAGATCGTGATCGGGAGGCTCGGGTTCGATTCTCGTTTGCGGCGCCGCGTAAAACCTAAGACGTAAACATAGGTAGTGACTATTCCTTCGCAAAGTGCTCGGCATAAGAAGCGAAAGTCATGGGTCTTTCGGATATAACCAAATAAACGTAGACCCCGTGTCTCAGTAGTCGTTGGCACGATAAAGAACACTCCTGCTCAATTGCCTTAAGTGCCGAGTATAGGTCTACATTTGTAGCCCTTCACCGGCATACGGTGACTTCTCTCTATGAGTGAAAAATTCTCGAATGGGACGTTAAACAAAATACAGTCAATTTATTATTCAGAATGTTGTTGACAGAAAAATGCCCAGTTCTTCAAAACGAGCAGAATAAAGAAATGTAAGTTAACATTGAAGGATTGAAGTTCCCTTCACCGATCTTCAAAATTACTTTAAATAAAGAAATTTTGATTTCTAAATTAACTATTCTGGAGTTATAATTAAAAATATTCTGGAGGTCTTCATTGACATTATCCATTTAGTCCTCGAAGACCAGGCCCTCTAGGTCTTTTAATATGTTAAATGTCCCATGATATATATCTCTGTTTTCTTATATTACTATTTCATAAGGTGTAATATCCCTCTGATAAGAGAGATATTTTCCATGAAACTCAATCGATTGTCTTTTCAGAATGTACAGAGTTCTTTTATGAGGACCAGTTTATAGTCAACTCAAATCTTATCTATGGTACAAATGTTGATTTATAGTTTCTTTTGCTAATGTTTTCATTAATTATCTATATAAGGAATAAAGCGAAGCGGTTTATAAAAAAGCGTAAACTGCCCCAAGTTTTGTTATATCGGATAACATAAGTTGAAATAAGCTTAATTCCTTATAATTTAATTTCAGTGCAGACAATGAGATATTTTTTCCCCCAGAATAAGGCTTCACATTGATTAAATTTTAAAAGTAACGTCAAGCGGAGTAATATGTTTTTGACGTAACTCATTGTGACGTAGGCAAGTTATGTTATACAAAATGGATAAAATCTTTTATCCAATCAAATGACGTGTTACAAATAAAATTAAATGATTACAAGTAACAGCTTTTTAAAAAGCTTGCCTGACTAAATCAATCAATTTATCTGCATGAAGAGTGATAACCCTTTTGAGCAATAATACGTTTGTGGGTTTAAAAAATATCCTAACTTTATATTTTGAGAACCTTATGTAATTGAAATCTTGATTTTACTGAACTTGTAGAAGAATCATCTCTACACTGCATACTAAAGAACTTTGTAGTTGAAGGGGGGGGGTCTGCAAGTGGAGTGATCTGCCCTTGGATCTAAATTGATTTCAAGCTACATTTTAACACCTATTATAAAATCTGTTATCAAATCACGCATTGTGAACATTTTAAAAGATGGATATAATTAAAAACACATTTTGTTGGAGTGTATTTTCTCCTCTGAAGTAAACAGTAGTAATGTGTGTTCATTATTTTTTTTCTTAAAAGGGGAGGGGGATGACACTATCATATAATACATGATATATTGAGAATAAAATAAGTAAATTCAATAGTTAGGCTTTGTAGAAAGAAATATCCAAGATTAGTCACTACTTTTTTATTAATCGTGTGCATCTGAACAAAGACATATAATAGATCATGCATTTGGAGACGATGGCTTAAACTGCGTTGTTTATCATTATTGGACTCGTCCATTTATGGAATAAACCAACCGCGGGATCGGTAAACAAATTAAAAACATCATTTCTTTAGTGTCCATATACCATGTATACTGATGTATACGATATGTTGTTTTAAAGAATGGTATAAAACTTGTAGATAGAATTTCTGAAGCATTAGAAGGAAGTTAAAAGGACAAACTTTATTTAATTCCATGGAAGTTAGCACGTGTCAGCCATTCATACAATAGAACAATCCAAGGAAAAGGCGCGAAGATAACTTACTAGTGACATTTGGCGCGAAAAGAGCGATTCACCCCTTTCGTACAATATAAATGGACTGATCCAGTAGTATAGAAATGCAGAAAAAAGGATACACGGACATGTTGAAACGGCAAATCATATGGAATAATCTGTTCCATACAAAAAGATTAAAGGAAGTAAACACTGCAGTATTTCGCATCAGTAATATCTTTCTTTTTTCTGAAAACTGTTTCTTTTAAAATGCAGGTAAAGAATTCCAATGTAAATCTGCTTGCACAAAATCTAGCTCTTTAGATATGGTCGCACATTTTCGGATCTTGGAAATATCAATCCTTATACTGCCTGACGCCGTGACGTCAGGCAATAATTTATCTTGAGCATTTATACTTAGTTCCTTTAAACTATGAAAATTAAAATATTTCTATCTATTAATGTATAAGGATTTTAATTGTTTCAGAAATGGCAGATGAAAAATTGTTATAAACAATTGATATTTTGTTTCACTAAAATATTTTCAAAGGCGACAATGAAAAGATAACTCTCGTTGATGAATGCATATTATTTTACAAGCAAAGAAAATAATTTGACATTCTGATTTAATAAGCAACGTTTCATTATGTTTTCTAATCAGAATTAGATAGGTATGACATTAAACAGTATTTTCATATATACCTCATACTTTTAATTTTATTGTGAGATAAAAAAGTATTGATATTTCTTCTTGTCATATCAAATTTTCTTCACATCATGATTAGACATAATATTCATTTCTGAAAAAGTAAGCTACACTTGATACTTCAAACTACTTTACATTTGAATCTTATGTTATTGTTATTGATGAAAATCACTGTTTGGAATAAAGAAGGTGAAATTTGGAGCAGAGGGATATATCACCTTAAACCTATTCAGATACTTCTGCGTGAAAGTAGTTGCTTGATGTGGCCTACAATTTGACTTTAAGATATATATTTACTGCGTTTTTTGAAACATACAATGGTTGTGTACGAGAATTCCACAAGGTTAAAAATGCACGCAAGTGACTGATACTTCTGTTTCTTACTTGGATGACAGCAAACGCATGAATTAACTTTTTGATGAACTTGATTACTTTTCGATCATTACCTTCCTTATTTTTTGGAGAAATAAACCATTGTCATCTATATATGGTTGATTGGAAGGTTGTGTTTCATTAATAACACGGCATACTACTGACAAACAAGTTGAAGTTAGAAGGATGTCAATTATTTCGAGTACATTACACATCCTGGAAATTATATCGTCGTTAAAATGACCTAGTGCAGAACTTCATTCTGTCTTGGGTCGAATGTTAATTAACGTTTTGAAGACAGAGTTGTTAGGCAATTGTTATATGCATTTTTTCGTTTTCGTTATGTAAAAAAAATCACAGAAGTTTTACTGTGTTAGTACTTTATACTTTAAAGTATAAACTAATGTAAATAAATCTAATGAAAATAAAAAGTACATGTATAAAGACTACAATCATTGTATCTCTAAGTCTTCTGGCTATCACTGACACTGCCCTCCCTTGTTCATGAAGCACTTACTTTACACATTATTTTATCTTCCATATCTTTCTTCGACTCATCTTCGCAAAATATTTCTTTTTGACTAAAATTTAGTAATTTATCATTCTTTAAAACATTAACCAGTTAATTTGTTTCTTTATTTCCTTATATTTTCGATTAATTTCTATATGATATGGATCTCTGGAAATTCAAAATTTCAAAGGTAGTATCAGATACCTAGGTTGAGTAAGTATCCCCTTGTCGAATGATCGACCATCCCCTCCCTCCACCATTGAGAACTATATACTAGTATTTATCAAGTAGACGGAACACTGCGTAGTTACATTAAGTACAAAAACAAAGGTCTTACAATTGGTATGAAATTCGAATCAATGTTAGGTTGTTGTCCCCCGGTTTCGAGCGGACATTATTCGTCTGTCTGTCTCTCCGTCTGTCCGTCAGTCTGTCCGTCCGTCAAAAAAACTTTAACCTTGCCCATAACTTTTGATTAAGTGGAGCTATGAATTTCATATTTCTCATGTGTATTTCTTGTGACAAGACCTTTCTTGGGTACCACCAAAGTTGACCTTACCTTGTTGACCCACTTTTACACAAAAATTCCGAACTTTTACTTTCGCCATAACTTTTGAATGGTAAAAACTAGGACTTTCATATTTCACATATATATTTCTTGTGGCAGGGTTCTCCATCGTTTGAAATTTTACTGTGTCGCAGAGTTAACGCGAAGCACTAAAAATTCGCGGTATTTTCGCGATCAAATTCGCCACTGAATCACTATTCATTATAAATACAAAAGAATTCTGCATATACTTTAAAAAAAATCACTTATTCTGTTGCAAGGCTTTTCATTAAATACCAACAACCTTCACTTATTAACTTTGGAGATTTCTGTATTTGTGAAAAAAAACTTTATCCTTGGCCATTACATTTGAAAGGTAAGGAATAGGGCTTTCATACTTCACATATGTAATTCTTGTGAGAAGACCCTTCATTGGATACATGGAACTTCGACCCTTTGACCTTGACCTTGGAATTGAACTTACTTTTAAAAAACAAACATTGACCCTAACATTTAAAGGGTTAGGGCTAAGGCTTTCATGTTTCACATATTAAATCCTTGTGACGGACCTTTCATTGGATTTCAAGAATGACCTTGACATTGGAGTTTGACCTACTTTTAATAAAAAAATCTTTGGGTAATAATATATTTAATTTGCATTTAAGAAAACTTTAATCTTGTCATTGG